GTGTGTGCGTGTGCGTGTGCGTGTGCGTGTGCGTGTGCGTGTGCGTGTGCGTGTGTGCGTGTGTGTGTGTGTGCGTGTGCGCGTGTGCGCGTGTGCGCGTGTGTACATATATGCGTGTCAGGGGCTGAAGGAGGTGACGAAAAGCATGAGGGAGAAGGCAAGAGCAAGACATACCGCAAGGCCACTGATGAAGATGCTTCGGCTGGGCTGCACATCGGCAAAGAGGCGCTGCACTCGGGCCTTGACCGCGCCCGGAGTGTCATTCTCCTCGCCCAGGTGCGTCAACCGATAGATACGCGATCCGGCTGACAGGGGAAGCAGGCTGCCGGGGCCAAATGCCCCGCTGGCGCCGCTGGCACCAGGGCCAGGCCCGGCCCCAGGCCCGGCCGCCCCTTGGGGAAACCAGGCCTGATACTGTCGAGCGAGGAGCTCGGCTGCGGCCTTGGCCTCGCGATCGGACACGAAAGCCAGCAGGGCAAACTGGTGCGGCGCCCCAGACCGAGACTCCCCTCGAGGAGCCCCACGCGGCCAGGCCCCCGGCCCGGGCGGCAGAGCATGGTGCAGGAGCAGGTGGCTGATCCCCGCGGCCAGGGGCTTCAGCGTGTCGACGATCATTTCGCGCGTCACCCCAAGCGGGACCTGGTCAATGACCAGGGTGTTTCGATGCCCGGACCGAGGGAGGAACTCGTATATGCTGCCCAGGCGCACACTATATACGGGCTCCTCGCCAAGAGACAGGGAAGCCAATGCCCGCTCGGTCTTCAGGAGCTCGGCCTCCGGTGCATATACCACATAGGCGAAGTGGTGGCCCTGCGTGTAGAAGAGCTCCTCCACCGGGCCAAAGTTTCGCAAGCACTCGCGCAGGGGGTACATGCTGACCGAGGCCGGGATCGGCGCCAGGAAGAAGGCCGCTCGGCCAACATCCAGCGGATAAGGCGAGGCAGGGGTGGCCGCCGCGGCGACCATGGCCGCTGCGGTCGCCGCTGCCGGCGCCGCTGGCCCGACCGAGGCACCAGGCTGCTGAGAGGTCGCCGCCATCGGGACATCGGCCGTAGACCCGCTGCTTCGA